GGTTATAGGAATCTTTGCACTAAATACCTATTTTCATTAATTTCAAAACTTTGAAACCCAAAAAGAAAGTAATTGTTTTTGTTACTTTATTTACAACACAATAAGTTTATGTCTTTGAATACACGCAAAAGCAGAGAGTCCTTTGCTTCTTTTGGTAACTGCATCTCCATGTGACTAAAAGGTCAGACCTTCAAACTTGCTTTTCTTGTGTGTTTGCTCTTCCTTTTGGTACAACTTTAATCCATTTATTTTTATCTCCTAAATATACAGTATATTGTTGTACTATATTAGCTTTAAACCTTACATTATATTCGGTAATTTATATTTGTAAGGTTACTCAGAGCTAATAGCTGTTGAAATGTACAGTATATGATTAAATTTTCAAAGATATGATTAGTTTGATAGGTATTCAATCAAAGGTCAAAGACTTTTTCCTCTCAGAATTGTAATAAGGTACAAATGTGACATCATTTTTTTGGATCACACATAAATTATGATAATTTTATCAAATTATTATATGCCCATTTGTCTGGGCCTGCGTGAGGCCCATTTAAAAGAAGTGAACAAAATCGTCTCATTGTCTGACCGGAAAACGAAACTCCAACGCGAACCATGGATCCGACTCCGACCTCGACGTGGAGTTCCATGGTGAAAAAAGTTCCTCCTTCAAAGCCTCCGGCCACCGTCGGAGCTCCGACGACGATTCTCGGGATGGTCGGAAACTGTAAATCCACAAAGGGAATATCTATGGCGGTTATTGACGCAAACGCCGTCATTGAAGGAGGCCAGTGCTTAACCAACTTCGCTGACAAATTCGTAACCGTACCTGAAGTAATCTCCGAGATTCGTGACCCTGCTTCTCGCCGCCTTCTCGCTCTCAGTCCCTTCACGATCGATACCATGGAACCTTCTCCTGAATCTCTCAGTAAAGGTACATCAATTTGATTCTCGTAACTAAGTTTTTGAGCTCGTTTAGTTCGAATTCGATGGTGAAATTTCCATGAAAAGCTTATGCTTATGTCTATGGCATTTTGAACTTTTCTGCAGTTATTGAATTTGCAAGAGCTACTGGTGATTTACAAACTCTCTCTGATGTTGATCTCAAACTGATTGCTTTGACATATACTCTCGAGGCTCAGGTTCATGGGTCCAAAAATCTCAGAGATGTTCCTCTACCGATTCAGACTGTGAGGGTAAAGAGATTACCTGAGAAGGAATTGCCTCGTTGGAGCTCAAATGTGGCTAACTTGGAGGAGTGGGAAGCATTAGAAAACGAGACGGATGAAAAATCTAATTCTAACTCCAAAAGCTTTCCGCTTAAAGACCGTAACATGAATATCATCCCTTCAGATAATAGTTCTGTGGTTGGTTCTGTTGTCTCTCTCAGTGAGCTTCAAGAAGAAGGTGAGAGGAGGCATAGGCGATATCCGCGTAAGAAAACAGAGGTGAAGCTTGAAGGTAAGATGGTAGTGGAAGGAATAGATGCATCGCAGGGTGAATATGACGATGAAGATACTGGTGATTGGAGACCTGCGGTTAGTAGAAGTACTCACAGTAGGTTTCTTAGAAGAAAGGCAAGGTGGGAACAATCTGTTGCCTTGGCTGAACAAGAAATAAGAAGCTGTCAAAGCTGGAAACTTGATTGAGGACACACAGTCGAATCAGATATCTAAAGATGCGAATGAATGCTGTGCAAGAAATAATGGTAAGAATGATGAGGATCTTTCGTCCATACTAAAAGAGATGAGGTTGGAGGAAGATTCATTAAAGGCTCTCCAAGAAGAGCCTGAAGAGACGAATACTGAAACAACTTTAATTAAGAGTGAGGATGATATCGGTCATGATGTTGAAATCGAAGCTGAGGGGATGGATGATGCAAGTCAAGGCTTTGAGAATGTGGAGGTTGCTAGTGAGGCTGGGAATAACTTTGAGGCATCATCGATTGCAGATGATGGTTGCAGTGAGCAGAGTTGTTCGTTGAGATCCTTATCTGAGTCTAGTGTAGCTTGTCTAACCGGTGACTATGCAATGCAAAATGTTATTCTTCAAATGGGTTTGCGTTTGCTTGCTCCCGGAGGAATGCAAATTCACCAACTGAACAGGTACACTTTATGAATCAGATCTTCCTTTTATAATTTTTGAAATGTCTGACACTTTTCTGTAGCATACTCATTGACATTAGCTAATGAGAAAAATACAATTCTTACACTTGATTGCATTTGCATCTTCAGGTGGATCTTGAAATGTCATGCTTGCTACACAGTAACTCCTGAAATTGGAACAAAATTCTGTCCCAAGTGTGGGAACGGCGGGACTCTACGCAAGGTAGCAGTTACGATAGGCGAGAATGGCACCATCATAGCTGCATGTAAACCTCGTATTACACTTCGAGGGACCAAAGTAAGTGCTTATCATAAGCAGAAGCTAATCGAAGCCACCATGTTTTGTGTTAAACACAACATCTATATATGATCAATTCATTATTTTCAAGTAAATTTTTACTCTGCTTTTAAACAGAAGCCCTTCTTTCCTTTAAACTCCTACTACCTGTCTTAATTTTTTCGTCTTACAGTTTTCGATACCAATGCCTAAAGGAGGAAGAGACGGAATCACCAAGAATCCGGTTCTACGGGAAGATCAACTCCCTCAAAAGTTCCTCCACCCTAGGACCAAGAAGAAAGCAAGCAAACCGGTTAGTACATACAAACTCAAAATCTTGTAGCCTTTGATTGAAAAACAACTTTTAAGGTAATTTCGGATTTGATTGTATCGTTGTTTTTCAGGGAGATGAGTATTTTATATCAGACGATGTGTTCATGTACCATCATAGTAATAGAAAAGCACCATTGCAGCCTCCTGTGAGAGAAGCTATGGCGAATTTCAGCCAGAAAAGGTACCCTAATGACAACCATTACTCTCGTTCTAGGGCAAGATGTTCAACTCCATGGTGACAACAGTTATAACTTAGAAGGTTTAATTTCATCTTATGGTGTGAACCGTGATTCATTACAATTTTGAGTTTTGGTCCAAATAAACTGATTTAATTATTGCGAAATGTCATTACCATATAACTTTCTTTTAAGCTATGAAATACTCTCTAGCCGCCAACATAATCATAGTACAAGTTAATGTGATTCTTTCTACTCATATACTACTTATTTTCATCCATGTCAAGCTAATTGTATTTATTTGGAGTTTGTTAATACCAAGTACCAACCATAATACTGCATGTCATGGTGGCATCAAAAACACTAATAAAG